AAGTCGACTGCCAACTGGCACGAAGCTGCGCCTTGAAAACAGGGCCATAGTCCATGTATGGGACAGGCACGGCCGTGATGGCACCAGAGCAGACGGACTTAGCTGTCGGTGTCAGCGAGCTCGTTCCCATGAATACCGACGTGGACAGGGATCCAGAAAAACTGGATCGAAATAGAAGATAGAGAGAAGTGGGCCAATCGATGATGAGTATTGACGAGAACAGGGTGAGAACTAACATTAAGCGATTCCAGGGCCAGTAGAGAGCTAAGAATATCAGTGTAAATAGTACAATTACTGTACTGGAGAACCCTTCGGTTTACGACCACACCGTTTTTCTTTACTAGATGGAGGTCGATTGACCTCCATGGATCCTGCCCTTGAACAAGCGAGCAGATTTCTGTCATCAGATTGAGAATCCAATGACTGAGAACGTGATCGAATAATCGTCCTGCATTTAGGGGCCAAAGAAGGACCTGCACGGACACCAGAGGCTGATGCCCAAGGAGGTTGACCCAGGCAGTCACCGGAAGGAACAGTGGGGACAGAGATTGGAGTAGATGTAGACTGATCAACTCTATTATCCATGAAGGGCAGAAGACCCCACACATGGCTTGAAAAAGACTCAGATGGAGGCACGGAAAGGTCCGTCTGCACTCCCCCTGTAGCAGTGGAGTGTAGTGCAGAGGCATATGGCTGCAATGTAGGAGGGAACAATAGCTTCCGAGCCTCAGGATAAGAGATGTTATTTAGAGTCTTCAAACGCTGTACCTCTTTTTCCTCCACACACTTAGGGCAAGACCTAAAGTAGGAGGGGTGGGAATCACTACAATTAACACAGTGAGAGTCCATTTTGTACTCGTAGGAGTCATGGTCCTTGCCACCACAACGAGCACACGTCACAGAACCACGACAAGATGTCTTTGAGTGACCGAACCGCTGACACTGAAAAACATCGGAGAGGGTTGGGAATATAGGGCCGTACATTACAGTTCAAATAACCTGCTTTAATGGTGGCAGGTGGACGTGGTGATGAAAACGTCAAAATTAAAACTGAGGTCGGCACCATAATTCCATCTTGACGAGTAGAGATCCTTCGACCTGCTGAAACACCTTGATTGGAGAAACCAG